TTTATAAGCGATGCATTATTGATAATTGGTAGTAGTCTGTTAGGTTTTTTATTCTCTCATTTTGTCATATTATTTGTATAACTATATCACTTGATAATTGTATGTATTTATTAAATGATTACTTATATGTTTAATGTGAATTAGCGACTCTTTTCTATATGAATATTATTGACTAATGTTAATATTTAAAAATTTTTTTCACCATCCGTATGTTCGCTCCCGCCTTAGTTAATTCTAAGTTTCCTGGCCAGGTTGTGACACTTTAGGCGACAATCATGCAACCCCTAATGATCACTCTTGGTTTCCTAACAGGCTTTGGATCAAAATGACCTAAAGCTGCTATCATCTAGAGCTAGCTTGAAAACCTTATTTTCCTAACAGACTCTGGATGAAAGCAACCTAAGGTTGCTATCATCATGAACTAGCTTTGATTTCATCATAAACAATGCGCATGTGCTAAATAACTTTCACCACTTTTGGACATTTCACTCTTTGTTCCTTCGATATTTCTGGAATTATGAGAAATATAAGAAGAGTTGATTGAAGACAATCTAAGAAAGTCCTTGATTAGTTTTATTCTTTTCCTATTTATGTTTATTTCAGTTTATTTCATAATTATTTCATTTCCATGTTTAAGAAAGACAAATTTGATTAGTTTCTAAATTAGAAGGGAATAATATCCCTATATATGTAACCTCATAGTTGAATATTGAGAATAAGATCTCGGAGAGAATTTTATGCTCAGTTTTCTTCTTTGTATCAACACTTGGAAACAATCCCTAACTCTCTCTCTTCAGCCTCCAGTCCCTGTAGGCCCTACCTCTCCTTGTAGTCTGCTCTCTGTAGACTTCTCCCTGATCAGCCACAAGTAGCAACCAGAGTAGTCAATTGCTTAGGTAGCAGCCAGTGCAGACCTGCAAACATTTTGCAAAGCAAACTTCTTCCTCCAAGCGGTTCTCCCTACGGGCTTTCTAGACGAAGTAGATCTTCTCGTTGCAGGGTTGTCTTCTGGTTCCTGTTTCTTCTCTTGCCTGAATTCCTGTAGACTGCCGGTCGCAGAGATCTTCTCTCGCACGTGATATCCTCCCTGCAAGGCCGTCTACTACGATCCATGCAGGCTAAAATCAGAGCCACAACCCAAAATTTCTGTAGCAAGCTGCAACCCAATGACACATCTAGCAATAACCTAGTGAATAGCAATAAAAATTCTCTTCTTCTTCCCCTTATGTAGCCCTAAACGTGCATAGGGCTTATGGCGAAGTACTAAATGAAGATATCTAGCTCTACTTCGGAGGCTAATTTTGAATCATAGGTCATGAATTATGTTCAAACATTTTCAAAACTCTTTACGTTTATCACAAACCATAAAATCAATGGCCATAACATCCTTCAATGGTTCCAATTCGTGTTTATGTTCATTTGTGACAAAGTAAAAGAGGAACATTTTACGGGAGATGACAATTTATGAGCTCACTGATCCTAACCATCGCTCATAGAAGATTCATGATCACATGATCATGTCTTGGTTGATCAATTCTATGATCATAGAGATTAGAGAAAATTTCTTGCTTTATAAACAACATAAGAGATTTGGGAAGCAACACATGAGACTTATTACATTACCAAAAATACTTCAAAGTTGTTTGAGATTGAGATAAATTGCATGAGCTTCGATAAGAAGAGTTAAGTGTGACTCAATACGTCAACACACTAAGTACTGATTACAGTTAGATATGTATGATACCCACAAGACTGTTCTCAACCAAACCCAAATCCAAACATCTTTGAAGTTCTAAGGTAGGCGGATTTCAGTCGAGAAGATAGGAAAAGTTGTGCAAACTATACTATCCAAGAGTATATTACCTGTGGGAAGTTATCATCACCTTATAAAACTTTTGTATCTAATCTTGATATTGTGCAGATACCCAAAAATCTATTCATGAAGAACTTCAAAGTTCATAGTGGAAAAAGGTAGTTGAAGAGGAGATCCAAATATTTGGTCTAAATAACACATGGACCTTTACAAAGCTTCCTCCAAACAAAAAAATCATTGGGTGTGAATATGTGTTCAATGTCAAGTACAAAGCATATGGGAGGATTTTGAGGTTCAGTGTTTAGTTGGTGGCTAAAAGTTTCACTCAGTCTTATGGGATACTCTCAGGAGGCCTTTGCATCAGTGGTCAAGCTAAACATTGTAAGAGTTTTTTCCTTTGAAATGAACAAAATGTGGGAATTGCATCAACTTGATATCAAGAATGTCTTCTTGAATGGAGACCTTGAGGAAGAAGCGTGTATGGAGATCCCACCAGGGCTGAAAATGGCTCAAATAAACATTTGGTTTGTAAACCAAAAAAATCACTTTATGGCCTCAAAAATCTTCACTGGCTTGGTTTGACAAGTTTGCCAAAACTATGAAATTTAATGGGTGCATTCAATGCTATGCTGATCATACACTGTTTGTAGATCGTACACAAAAAAGTAAAAAAAAACTGTATTCATTGTCTATGTAGATTTTATGATTTACAGGTGAAGTGGTGATAAAAAAGTTTGTGAAGATTTTGGATGTTCTTGCTACTGAATTTGAAATCAATAATCTAAGAGCTATGAGATACTTTATGGGCAAAGAAGTGTCTAGTTTGAAGACTGGAATTGTGATATCTCGAAGGAAGGGCATTCTAGACATTCTAAAAGAGACAAGAATGCTGGGGTGTAAACCTGCATACTATTATGGATTTTAGCAAAAAAGTTAAATTCAGGAGAAAAAGACATTAGTGGAAAAATATATATGGGAAAGCTTATCTATTTATCGCACACTAGATCTGATATAACCTATTCTGTCAAAATTGTGAGTCAACATATGAATAGTCTAAATAAATAACATTTGAAGATGTTTTAAAGAACATTGAGGTTTTTCAAGAAAACTCTAGAAAGAGGGTTATTGTTTAATAAATCAGGCACTATGGAGGTAAATGTTTACATTGATACTAGTTGGGCAGAAGAACTCACTGACATAAAATCCACATCTAGGTATTGCTCATATTTATGAGGAAATCTTGACACATGGGTGAACAAGAAGCAAGTAGTGGTCCTTAGAAGTAGTGCATAGTCTGAGTACAGAGCACTTGCTTTAAGAATTTGCGAAGGAATGCGAATCCAAAGGTTATTACATGAGCTGGAACATTCCACAATTAGTCCCATAAAGATGTTCCATGATAGCCAAGCTTCCATCGGAATTGCAATGAATTATGTGCATCATGACAGGACTAACACATTGATATTGATAGACATTTTTTTCTCTAAAAAGGTCAATGGTGACAGTTTTTACTTAATCTACATTTGAACTCATCTTAAAGTCGCTGATAGCTTTATTTCTAGGCAGCCTCATTGAGTTGAATATCAAGTTGTACCTACACAGTATATATGACCCAAGTTAAGGGGGGAGTGTGGACTTTCGAGAAAATATAGGAAGATTTGATTGGTGATAATTTAGAAAACTTCATGATGACTTTTGTTCTCTTTCTATTTATGCTTATTTCAGTTTATTTCGGAATTATTTCTTTTCCATGATTATGATAAATATATCTAATAAGTAAATTAGAAGATAATAGTTGCCCTATATATATAACCTAATAGTTGAAGATTGAGAATAAAATTTCTGAGAGAATTTTCTCCTCTGTTCTCTTCAATATCCTTTCTGTTTTTACTGCTACTTTTTTGATGCTTTTTTTACATTTATCTTAACTTCTTGAAGTGATAATGAACACTTCACTATATTTTTTATTGTAACTCAAATTCTATTTATCGTTTAGGTTCTGAAATTCACTTCTTATTGACAAACTTAATACATTTTTTTTGAGTTTAAATGTTTATATTTTTATTTAAATTAATGACTGTTTACTCTTTTACTTTTGCCCCTTCTATCTAATGCTTCGTCAACCTTGTGCAATCAACCTTGTGCAAATTGCCTTTTTATTTGTGTTCTTTATTTATTTTGTATTTCTTAGCTTATTTTTGTTGGGCTAAATACATCAGACAAACTTTTATGAGCGTACAGTCTCACACCTTATTTGGCATAAACCATTGAAGACAGAAGTCTGAACGGGCTACCTGTAATTATAGAAATAAATGTCATATTGAATAAAATTTGCCTTACTTTTTTTCTGTTAGTAATTGTTTGAGGACTTAATTTTTGTTTGATCAATTCAGCTAGCATTGTTACCCAGGCAAGGAGCATAATGGCCTGAATAAACCCACAAGCTACTGTTGTTCTAAGGGGGACGAGTCTATTGACTCTATTCATATGCTCTTTTAGAAGGGATTATATTATCTTATTTGAACTTGGGTTCTGTGCCCTCTTCAAACTTTCCTTATACGTGTGTTTGGAGTTGAACTTCAGATTGCGTCAAGTCGTGATATGTTTTCGGAGAATTTAGTGATCTAATAGGTTGGTATCCATTTTATTGTACCTATGTAAGTACAAACTCAGTAATATTTAAAAATGACATGCCCACAAGCTACTGTTGTTCTTTTTTTTTTTGGTTCTGACACTATATTCTAAAAATGAAAGACTTGCTATTGTTATTTCACATCAAGGCAATATATAACTCAATTACATGCCAGTTCTTTGATTTAGTTTTCTTTTTTTTTTTAATTTCGTTGCACCATGTGAACAGTATTATATAGATTTTGATATGCACTTATATACGTGGACAATACCTTGTCACGCCATGTGTAACTTTAGTAAGTATCAGGCTCATTTTGTTTTGTCTCTAGTAGACGTGTTAATAATAGATTGAACTGTTGTTTTCATTTCTTTATAAATTATAGTCTTATGGTTTGTGTATCACCAACCCTTTGCATGGAATATAAGTTAGAACTTGTGTTTTCCTATCGTTCAATTATCAATTTAAATCTTCCAGCTAACTTGAGGAATTTGCTGTTTCTATTTCCTTGATTGTTTGTTTGATTTTGTTCCTTACACCTTCCCTTTTGTTTTTAAGGTTATCACTTGAAGCCATCACACTTGTCTCTCCCAAACTCTCTGAGCTTTTCCTTTGGTACAATTCACCATAGGAAATCAGTCATTTCGGTTAACAAGTGGCAAGTTTCTGCTCAAGCTTCATACAGGTAAGTGACTTTTTTGCCAGTAGAAGTATAATAATAGTCCTTTTTTCATAAAATTGAAATTTTTATATATTCTGTTAGATCTATTTGAATATCTCATCTTTAGCGTCATGTACTGTAATACTGTGCTGTGAGGTACATAAGTTCTATTATTTTCAAATAACGCATACTAAAATAGTTTTTGAATTTTTTTTAAATTTAGGCATCCAATTCTGTATGGTAGATTTTTGAACATCTCGACCCTCCTATTGTTTCAGTTGTAACAAGGAATCTGTTAATATAAACCTTGCCATTTATAAGTGAATTATTGTATTGGGCATAAAATTTTGTGCCACTCCATTGTCATGATTACTTTTTGTTCTTACTTATTGAGCGACTGATATCGAAGTTACTATTGCCAACCTTGCATAAGCAGCAGTGCTTCTCAGCAAAAACATTGAAAAATATAAAATAAGGAAAGAAAAGAAGGGAGAAATTATAGTTGGGTCCTTGAAATTGTGGAGTCACTCCAAATATTTTCTTAAAAAATTGGATTTCTATTAAATATCAATATAAAGGGTAGTTGTAAGATGAATTGCAAATTTCTTAAAGTTCTTTTCCTTTAAACATATTGTTTTTTTTCGCTGAATTTATTCACGTGAGAATTTTTTTTGTTTGAACATCAAATTTTAATATCGTCTTGGACAAAAACACACCTAATTGAAAAGAATGCTTTAGGGCCTCAACTTGACTAATTGAAGTTGACACTATGTACAATATCTAAGGCGTGGACTGTTGTCACTAGAAAACACACTCCCTACTGAGTTTTTGCATTGGTTGCTGCTATGCAAGTGTGTGCGAGGGTAGTCCGTATGTGCATGCTCATGCTTGGATGAGCTCATTGACAAGCTCACCTCTTTTACTGCTATGCTATTCATGTGAGCTTACATGGGCCATCCTTGCTTGCTCTTCTTGGGGAAGAGCAAACTTCCATCTATTCCTTGCTAGATCTCAGATAGTTCACGTAGGAGGGAGAAGAGAGAAGGGGGAAAGAACTGGGAATCTTTGACATTTTATTCTTTGTTATCAATTTTGTTAACAAATGGCCAACATCGAGTATTTGTACCTTCAAGCCTCAAAGTTAGAGTTTTAAAAATGTGGTCTTATTTAGAACACTTCATCTTTAATATTAATATCACCTGAACTTACTTTTGCTAATAGAAAAAATTTATAATATTTAATAGGGATGATACCCATTTTTTTCTTGAAGTCCACTGATTTGTGAACACTTGGCTTTATGTAGAAATTTTTTGCTATTTCTATGATGTGATGTTTGGTGCAAAATAAATGTTTATTAAACATTAATACTATAGTATAATATCCGGTACATTGAGCCTGCTAGAAGGGGGGGGAGACGATTGGGAATAGGCAGAATTAGAGAGAGAGAGAGATGAAGTGAGTGAGGATCAGAAGAGGGGCTCATGAGGCTATTAAAGAGAAGCGAGTGAGGAAGATTAGGAGATAAAGAAAGTTAAGCACGAGTGAGATTGTAATCAGGGGTAAACCATCGATGCACACTCACGAATGAGATTGGGATTCTAGAAGTAGAACACAAGAGGATGATGAGCAACGACATGGACATCGAGCACTGATTTAAGCAGACAAGATGAAGAAAAGAGATTGAATGAACGATGAATGTCCCAAGTTGAAAGCAGTAGCGATACATGGATTTACGACTCAATTGGAGTGGGGTCCACTCCCTAGTTCCCTAGATCTATAAGTATGTTGTTTTCATATTCTAGGTCAGTTTTTTTTTGTGTTTCTGTTAGGAAAGTCGTCAACATCCCTTGTTTTTCATTCTAGGATTGTATCCAGGAATGAGTGGTTCTTCGGCTGTATATCGTTCCAAAGTGGCGGTCATCATCCAAGGGATGAGTGGCACTACGATTGTATCTCTCTCATTTGTTGTTTTCGTCATCGTTCTTCTTGTAGACCGTCGAAAAACAATTTTGTAGTTGTTTTCCCAATAGACCGCCCTCTGCCTTCACCTCTAAGCGTTAGTTTCACTTGCAGTCTATTCAGATTTTCCCTATTGCAACTCCGCCAAAAATCACAGTGTTGTCCAAACTCAGCTCCACTCCAGTCCATGTTACCACCTCCTTGCAGCCCGCCACTTCACTCTTCTAATGGCCACCCTGTTCCTCCCACCCATCAATCCAAACCACGACCAACCTTCTTGCAATCTACAATCCCCACAATGGGCCACCCTCCCTCCTCCTGCACTCCAACCAAGCCCCTTACCTCCACCATATAGATATTCTACAGCCCCATCTGTTATTTCCATGCCACTTTCCAGCCACAACAACCCTCACCAATGCTCCTTCGTCTCGCATAACCGACAACAACCACCTTTGGATGCAACCTTAGGGGCATTTGTGCGAATGCCTTTTTTTGTTTCCCCTTTTAGCGTGTCAATTGTAATTGCTGATTGGCTTTTTTACTGTCATTGTCGGGTCCCAAATTTCAGATACTATAAGGATTTTGACTGTCTGAACTCCTCTGTTTAAAAATTCTCAAATACTTTTTAATACAAATCCTAAGATATTATAACTCGTTTGAAAGTCAGAATTCAGTTACTTGGCAGAAGATTAAAAGTCTCGTGATATCCTTAGTTAATTACTTGCATTTCAAGCACACATTTTTATTTTGAAATTTATTTAGGACCCAGTCTAAATTCTTTAAAGTGAAGGACCCTATTTTTAGGATATTAATTTCATTTTCCCCCGAAATCATTATTTATTATCAAAATATTAAAATTTATATCTTGGATCACCCCTTTTTTGAATTTTCGTTGAGCTTTGAACGTTTTGTTATTCGTGCTTTCCAAACATTGAACACTTCTGAAAAACAACAAAATCTTTCTTTATTTTATTGCGGCGGGAGGGAAGAGACAGACAAACATTGTTACCACTAACATCCATTTCGACAACAAAAGTTGCACAATAGTAATCAAGAGATGTTCCATCCTTTGTCAGCTGCGTAGGAGTCATACGGATCACTGGGATCGACCGAAATCATATTGATAAAACCCCTTTCAGATTCTCTCAGATATTCTTTCGGGATTGTTCTGCTCCCATTCTTGAAGTTTTCCTCAAGCCAATCTTTGAAACTGAAGCACTCCTCTATAGTATGTCTAATGAACCTGTGATATGGGCAATATCTCGGGTGCCCTTTCTTGTTGACTTCATCCGACTTCCTTGGTTTGGGTAACCTGAATTCGGGCTTCTCGATTAGATTGCGGAACATCTTTTGACTGCTTCATCTTCAAAAGAGTATATCCTGTTTAATTGATTGGTCATGGTTGGAATTTGTCTTTCATCCATCTGGTAAGGTCTCTGCTGAGCATTCCCTCGAGGACTTTGGTAGGTCTGTCGAGGTTGTTCTGCTTGCATTTGCAACGGTCGCATGCCTCTGTCGACCACTGCAATGATCCCAAATTTCTTCTCAAATGTTTTCATTGGCTCCAACCCCTCTGCTTTCTTTAGAAAAACAAGTTACGTAGCCTCTTCTTGGAGAT